TTTTTTAAATGAACTGAGCTCTTTGCGTCCTTTATCCTCTTACCGAGTCTTTTACAGCTTTTCAGAGTACGTGCTCCCCTTTCCATTTTTTTTTTTTTTTTTTTTTGGAGTCTGACTGTTCCCCGCTCCTCCCCCCTCGTAAATGCACCTGCACCCGCCACCTCAGAATTGTGAATCACCTCTTTCATGTGGTGATTTAAAATTTAAATTATTAGAATTCTTTGAACTTCAAAATGTAAAAAAAAAGTTTAAAGTTTAAAGTTTTTTAAAGTTTAAACTTCAAACGTATCCCTCAGCATTTGCTCTGATAATTAATTCCGTCTTTTTTTTGCATGGGGCTTGTTGTTGATGATTTTTTATTTATTTATTTTTTTCCCTGTTCTAATTGCAGGAGTGTCATAAAATCTCCTCCTTTCATGTGCATTTAGATTGAATGAGGTCTCTGGATTTCTTTTTTAGGCGTTGTTCGATCCGCATAGGATGTCTTGGAAAAACAAAAGACTCAAAGCATAGTAGCAGACTCTATTACTCACAGACCAGATCGGTATATTATGCGTTTTGTCGGGGGGGGGGGGGAAGGGGAGGACTTTTATGCTAAATCTGTGGCTGCATTTGTGGATATATAGATCCAGAAATTCTCTGCAACTGTCTTTCCCTGAACACAATGCACCCTCATTATGACCGTATCAAGCCGGATGGATAGCTAGCTTGTATACATTCATAACGAGCGTTGCGCTCTGTTTCGGGGGAAAACAGTAGTGTGACTATAGTGTCTTATTGCTTCAGGCTTCTGTTTTTTTTTTTTTTTTTTTTTTTTTTTTTTTTTTTTTTTTTTTTTTTTTTTTTTTTTTTAAAAAAGGGCCATGGCCTTGGGATTTCATCATGGGACTGACCCCCCCCAGGTAATTCAGAATTATTTTAGTTTTTTTGGTCATCTGGTTGCACTCGGGTCTGTATTTTGACAGTTAATGAGTGTACGAACTGAGCTATTGGGCCTGTTGGTATCAGTTGAAATTTTATTTATTTATTTATTATTTGTTTATTAAATTATTTAGTTGAATTTCTTATTAACCGGGGTGAAGTATGTTTGCATAATTTTTTGTTAGTACTGAAAATAGCTTTTCAGTCGATGCTTTGCAGTTTGAGATTTACTAAAAATAGCTTTGCAGTCCATGTATTGCAGTTGAGCACTGTAAGGTCCTTGCTGCACTACTTACCATGTGCACAAAAGACAAAAAGATATGGTGGTGCATCTGCATCTTCCCATGTTTTAGTGGAAAATTCATTCTCATTTTCTCACATTTGGTGAGTCGTGGAGCAAGGCCCTTAGTCAGTTGAGCATAGTTTTGGTTGAAAGGTAAGCTTTGCAGTCGAACAGCTGATGGTTCGGAAACTACACAAGAAATGTCTAGTCTTAAACTCTTTCACCTTCTTTTTTTTTTTTTTTTTTTTTTTTTAGCACTGATTTCTTTCTATCCTCTGAGAGACCACACGTGCCTTCTGAGATGATGTGGAAAAAAAACGAGATGTCCACCTGTTCTATCTCGTCCACATTGTCATTACACTGAAGTCAAGACTAAAGCCAGCAGAAAAGTCAAAAGTTAACAGAAAAGTCAACAGAAAAGTCAACAGAAAAGTCAAAAAGTCAACAGAAAAGTTGACAGAAAAGTCGACAGAAAAAGTCAATGGAAAAGTCGACAGGACAGTCAATGGAGAAGTCAACCGAAAAGGCAATGCAAAAGTCAGTAGGAAAGTAAAAAGTTAACAGAAAAGTCGACAGGAAAAGTTACAAAATTTAGCAGAAAAATCAACAATAACGTCAGCAGAGAAAAGTCAACACAAAAGTCAACGGACAAATCAGCAGAAAAGTCAACAGAAAGGTTGACCGGAAAGACGACAGGGAAGTCGATGGGAAAGTCAAAGGGAATTTCAGTAGGAAGTCAAAACTTAACAGAAAAGTCAACAGGAAAAAGTGAAGAAAAACGGGTCCACAGAGAAGTCAGCAGAACGATCATGCTGCGGTATGAGCTGTTGCTATGTTACATTACCAGTGTGGGCTATACACTGGTGGGCAGGAGAAGTTCAATTCTTAGTTAGTCGTCTCTGTATCGTTCGAAATTTAGCGGATGTCCTGGAGGACAAGTTGACTTGTGCACTGTCTGTGTGCTGTTCAGCTGAAAAGTCTCTCTTTTCGCACTGTACGTGTACTGTTCAGCTGGAAAGTTTCTCTTCTCTCACTGTGTGTGGGATTTGGCACAGAGAGAGAGAGAGAGAGAGAGAGAGAGAGAGAGAGAGAGAGAGAGAGAGAGAGAGTACAGTCGACGGAAATAGACTGTTCTGTGTGGGGGAGTCCCAATGCCGGAGAAGTTGGTCATCAGCGAATTAGTGACAGATTTTCTGTATGGGTGGAATTGGGCAGCTTTCACACAGACAATAATTCACACAGAATGTGTAGTAACACATCACACGAAGATGAAGTGAAACGATCCGACATGTCACTACAATATAACAATCGCTAATTTCTCTGCCTGTGACCAGCAGACGATCCCGTCCCTCCGTTCTTTTCTTTTGTGGTGTGATGTTCCCAATTGGCTGCTGATTGTTTCCCGGAAGAATCAACTCTCAATCTGAACCGTCGGCGGTGTTATATAGCACGGTCACGAATGGGAGGAGATTGTTAGGAACTGAACAGTCGAAGGAGGCTGGGAGCGCGCGCGGCACTAGCCCGGGACCCCGTGCAGCACAGGCCCTGGCCCCACGACGAATTTTGGCCGGTACCGCTCGCGGACAATCTGTGGCAGGTACATGGCGCAGGCCCGCCATACGCGGTCGCTGGTAGCCAACTTTCTCAATTTTGAGAGGCGGTGCCGCAAAGAAACCCTGGCCCTATGCCTGACGTCGACTTTGAAACTCTACTCGAATGTGTGTGTGAGAGAGACGCTCGACTCTCGACTCACTAGTCCGTGTTGTATGCAACACTGGACTCTCGACTGGCTACTCGGACCATCTACTCGAACGTGTGTATGTGTGAGAGGAGGGGAGAGAGACACACACACACACACACACACACACACACACACAGAGAGAGAGAGAGAGAGAGAGAGAGAGAGAGAGAGAGAGAGAGAGAGAGAGAGAG